AAGGCCGCTCAGCAAGGAAGAAGCCACTGCTCCAAAACCGCCATAAAAAAGCCAGACTACGGTTTGCAACTGCACATGAGGATAAAGATCGTACTTTTTGGAGAAATGTCCTCTGGTCTGATGAAACAAAAATAGAACTGTTTGGCCATAATGACCATTGTTATGTTTGGAGAAAAAAGGGGGTTGCTTGCAAGCCGACGAACACCACCCCAACCGTGAAGCACGGGGGTGGCAGCATCATGCTGTGGGGGTGCTTTGCTGCAGGAGGGACTGGTGCACTTCACAAAATAGATGCCATCATGAGGAAGGAAAATTATGTGGATATATTGAAGCAACATCTCAAGACATCAGTCAGGAAGTTAAAGCTTGGTCGCAAATGGGTCTTCCAAATGGACAATGACCCCAAGCATACTTCCAAAGTTGTGGCAAAATGGCTTAAGGTCAACAAAGTCAAGATATTGGAGTGGCCATCACAAAGCCCTGACCTCAATCCTATAGAAGATTTGTGGTCAGAACTGAAAAAGTGTGTGCGAGCAAGGAGGCCTGCAAACCTGACTCAGTTACACCAGCTCTGTCAGGAGGAATGGGCCAAAATTCACCCAACTTATTGTGGGAAGCTTGTGGAAGGCTAGCTGAAACGTTTGACCGAAGTGAAACAATTTAAAGGCAATGCTACCAAATCCTAATTGAGTGTATGTAAACTTCTGACCCACTGGGAATGTGATGAAATAAATAAAAGCTGAAATAAATAATTCTCTCTACTATTATTCTGACATTTCACATTTTTAAAATAAAGTGGTGATCCTAACTGACCTAAGACAGGGAATTGTTACTACGATTAAATGTCACAGGAATTGTGAAAATCTGAGTTTAAATGTATTTGGCTAAGGTGTACGTAAACTTCCGACTTCAACTGTATCTCTATGCTGTCAATTGTTTCGGTTGTGACCGTTTTGGTTTGGACAATTGTGACTCTTTTTACTTTAAAGAATCCTCATAGCTAACACATGGCTGGATATATTTCATTTTGACAAATGTACATCCCAGCAAACATCTATTTTAGTCCTGACAACGTACTTTACATATTTCTTGATATATTAAATGTTCTGTAGTGACACTTCTTCAAAATACATGAAGATTTACCAACTTGCTCACTCATTTTCTACAAAATGTTTGCAGACAGACTACTAACCATGTGGCCATGCTGGAGAGGGGTGCAATCATATTACCTGGTGACATTTGTAGGGGTGTGGCTTAAGGCACATTCATTCTAAAGTCTTTTAATGTGTATGTTTCGGTAGTGACATCAAAAGGTGGGACAGCATTTTTTTAAAGAAAGATGTTTGAAAGACAAACAAAACTACTAAATAGATCAGAATCTTTGAATGTAATAATAGAACAACTCAAGATGTTCTATTGAAATAATATTGTAAAAAAAATAAAAAAATAAAAAAAATTGCTTTAATTTCAAAAAAGGAAGTTTAGTAGTCAGGGTTTGGGACAGCCAACTCTCAATAGAAATAGATGTATAAACAATGGCTTTGTAGTATATTAATTTAACAATATATTTGTTATTGCCTTGGATTGAATTAGAACCTAGCATGTAAATACATGACCTAAGTTTGGAGACTTAACTGTTTTTTAAAAATGGGCATATATCTGGGGAAGGGTATAACAAAGTTTTTGTTGGGGTGGGACTGCAATTTGCACCACTTCTGTAGAATCACACATAACCTCCAAAATAATTTTTGTTTGGTTAAATAAAGCACATTATTCTTCAAGGTTATGTTTATGAAATCCATGTTATTCAAATTATTAAAAAATGTTACATCATCACATTGAGACACAGGACATTGTGACACACTTAGTGTATCTGTATGTATTTTGCAAATATAATTTTAAAGGGGCTTGATTGAAATCTTCCAATGAGGACTTTGAGGCCCCTGTAGGAGCATTAAAGTAGTGCAGGTGAGCTGTAAATATGGTGGGCAGATTGTCCAGGAGATAATTAAACAGAAGTGATGTTGTGACAGACGAAGCATAATCGTGTGGGCTATTTTGCAGACAAATAAAACAAACAAAAAAACGTATACACTTTTAAAAATCTGATCCTACCACTCTGTTGTTTCTGAGGTTTGATAGACTATGGTAGCCTACTGTACAGAATCTGTTTGAAATATCAACATTTCAATTTTGCCGCCATACCACTGCATTCCCTTTTATAACCCTGAAATGAAAAGCTAACGAGGACAGTGCCCCTTGAACTGACTGCAGGTTCAAAGTTGATCAGATTAAGTGTATTTGTGATCCTCCCTCGTACACACTCTGCCTGGGCACAGTGTGAGAACAGCTCCCACAGAGAGACAAAAATACCTTTTGGAGGTGAGTTGCCATTATTTTTAGCAATTTATTCATCTTCTTATTCAGTTTAAATGAATAAGGGGTGTTTTCCAAGTTGATCAATAACATAAAAAAACATGGCCTAAGTTCTTTGTGATTATGGAAATTCAGCTGTAGGCTTCCTTGAACCTATATTCTGAATGAACTTTATCCTGTAAAAATGCTATTCTCATTAAGATAATATTAAACTGATTTGTCAATGGATTCAGAGACTGATCTCATTGACTGTTCTCAGGGTTCAGTATGGTATTAAACCTAGTTAACACAGAGGTACATGGGGGTTGTTGTTGTTGGAGTGTACTTTGGCCGTTCAGTTGAGCCGCTGTATTAGTCTATTGCTCAAATCTATTATATGACAGTCTCTGTTTTCCAGCAGATCTTTAAGTTGACTAAATACAAGCTCTCCGAAGGACACATTCAACCTCTGAAATCTTTTGGAAACGCAGTAGTCCACCATTGTACGATCAAAGACCACAATATTATTGTTAGTTTAAACACCACATGGACCCTTCCCACTGAGCAAAAACAGGTTGAATCAACGTTGTTTCCACGTCATTTCAACAAAAATAATGAAACGTGATGATGTTCTCAACGTGGAAAACTGATTGGATTTTCAAAAAGACATCAATGTTCTAACCAAATTCCAATCAGATGGGGAAATGTTTGGTTGATTTTAAGTTGAATTCACGTTAGTTGGTAACTCAACCAAATGTCAATTTAAACTAGACCTTGAACTGGTGTCTGTGCCCACTGCCCAGTGGGTTGAATGACATGATACAATAATTATTTGAGATATCTGGGGTTAATAATATCCAGGAAATGCATATAGCAGACAGCTAAATATAAACACATTCAATATCAGAGAGATAGCTTACTCCCAATGACTACCCAATGAAAGTTATTTTTTACAGAATTGGCGCATGCTGTGGCTCCTCGCGTCTATCTGAGTTGTAGAGGTACACATGTAGTAGGGTTTTCAGGTAGTTACTCTGTTCCAATGCAAATGCCATAATCATCCAAAGGAATCACCTACATGACAGGTTTGATGCGTTAAAAAGTAGCACCATATCACCCTACCTGGATCGGTAACGTTTACACATAGTCACTGCGGTTGAGGACGGAACGTTTCGATGGTGTCTCAACCTCTCTTGATAAAACGGAATATTTGGTTGTTGCACATAAATAATCCTCAAACGACAGGTGTACTGAGACTGCTCGCTTCTCCGCAGTAAGGTCACTGACAGCCACAATTTCTACATTTTTTGGGGGAGATAAGGGTTTAATTTATTTTATTGAACGTTAATTAAAGTATTTCACATTTAACTGTAGTCAAGTCCACAACTATGCGATAGCATAAGGGAGCCACACCCCAAAATACACTGCTTTATGTTTAGCTAAAGCTACTTTAGCTAGCTATCTAGTTTCTCTGTGTGGTTATAGTAAACAACACAGTGAACACCAATGCCTGGCATTAGTTAGCAAGCTAGGTCCATGTCATTGCATGCCCTTTCTTTGACATTATTCTGTCTCGCGAACTGACTAGCTAGATTGTTAGCTGAACCAGTAGGCTTGAGGAGACGAGATCCAGGATCCTTAAATTCAGCTCTGCAAACGTTGTAACGTGAAAATACGATTGGTACTGACCAAAATATAGACTTTTGCAGAGCATCTATCGTCATTAATGCATTTACGGACGGTATGTACTTCCAAAAACGGTCTAAATTAAAATAATCTATTGTTTCTTTTCAAGTGCGCATGCGGCAAATCCACATTCGGCACTTCCAATATAATCGCTCATTACTGACAATCACAGGTCGGTTGATACAGCAGCATTACAGTATCACGAAAGGTACATTTATTTAGACCTTTGTTGGAAGTACATGGCGTGCAGAACGGCAGTAATGACGATAGTTGCTCTGCAAAACTCCATATTTTGGTGAGCACCGAATGTATTTTGACATAACGTTTGCAGAGCTGGTTAATGGGACTTTGAAGTGAAGGATCCCTAGGCATCAGAGGAGATATTGTCTCCTCAAGCCCAGGTACTGGTTCAAGTGCTAGCTAGCTAGCTAATCTTGTTAACGTTAGTCCTTCGTGCAAACGTAACTAGCTAGTCTAACATTGAGGTGAATGGGAGGACCCTACAAAAAGTGACTAATCCCTCCCCAGGAGGTTGCCAGCTTTAGCCTAGCAACTAGGTTCACTTTCTCAAACTGTCACTGGCTGGTGGGTTGCAGAAGTTAAGTGGCTTTTTACTTTGCTACATTTCTATACCCCAAACTAGTTTTCTTGATTTTTCATGTGAGGCTCTCCACATTTGACAGCTAACCCAATCAATCATCTTACTATACTGTCCCAAACAATGACCTGATTTGTCTGTTGATTAAGTGTCCTTAATTGGCTTGAGGGCCTCTTATCTGTAGGTCTTATCCGCAGGTCTTTGCCCAGTGTTTGTGGAAACAGTTAAGAGCTTAGTCAAATGGCCTAAATGGTATTAGTTAACAGGCACAGAGAATTTACCTGCTCGTGTGATAGGAACTATCAAATCAGTTGGCTTATGGACTGTAAGGAAATGGACATTGGACGTGTTAATTATTAGAATGGAGGTGCGGATTGGGTTAAGATCAGAGGTCAAGCACTAGAAGTAACAAGAGCTAAGGTCTGGCCAACTTTTCTCAGTCAACTCGGATTAACTTTTTGCTACGATACTTTGCTGATGTACAGTACCAGTCAAAAGTTTGGACACACTTACTCATTCCAGGGTTTGTCTTTATTTGTACTATTTCTACATTGTAGAATAATAGTGAAGACATCAAAACTATTAAATAACACATACAGAATCATGTAGTAACCAGAAAAGTGTAAAACAAATCAAAATATATTTTATATTTGAGATTCTTCAAAGTAGCCACCCTTTGCCCTGATGACAGCTTTGCACACTCTTGGCATTCTCTCAACCAGCTTCATGGCAGTCACCTGGAATACATTTCAATTAACAGCTGTGCCTTGTTAAAATGTCATTTGTGGATTTGTTTTTCTTCTTAATGCGTTTGAGCCAATCAGTTGTGTTGTGACAAGGTAGGGTTGGCATACAGAGGACCAAGTCCATATTATGGCAAGAACAGCTCAAATAATCAAAGAGAAATGACAGTCCATCATTACTTTAAGACATGAAGGTCAGTCAATCCGGAAGATTGAAAGAACTTTGAAAGTTTCTTCAAGTGTAGTCGCAAAAACCATCAAGCGCTATGATGAAACTGTCTCTCATGAGGACCGCCACAGGAAAGGAAGACCCAGAGTTACCTCTGCTGCAGAGGATAAGTTCATTAGAGTTACCAGCCTCAGAAATTGCAGCCCAAACAAATGCTTCACAGAGTTCAAGTAACAGAGACATCTCAACATCCACTGTTCAGAGGAGACTTCGTGAATTAGATCTTCATGGTCAAATTTCTGCAAAGAAACCACTACTAAAGGACACCAATAATAAGAAGAGACTTGCTTGGGCCAAGAAACACGATCAATGGACATTAGACTGGTGGAAATCTGTCCTTTAGTCTGATGAGTCTAAATTTGAAATTTTTGGTTCCAACCACCGTGTCTTTGTGAGATGCAGAGTAGGTGAGCGGATGATCTCCGCATATGTGGTTCCCACCGCGAAGCGTGGAGGAGGAGGAGGTGTGGGGGTGCTTTGCTGGTGACACTGTCAGTGATTTATTTAGAATTCAAGGCACACTTAACCGGCATGGCTACCACAGCATTCTGCAGTGATACGCCATCCCATCTGGTTTGGGCTTAGTGGGACTATTATTTGTTTTTCAACAGGTCAATGACCCAACACACCTCCAGGCTGTGTAAGGGCTATTTGACCAAGAAGGAGAGTGATGGAGTGCTGCATCAGATGACCTGGCCTCCACAATCACCCGACCTCAACCAAATTGAGATGGTTTGGGATGAGTTTGACCGCAGTGAAGAAAAAGAAGCCAACAAGTGCTCATTATATGTGGGAACTCCTTCAAGACTGTTGGAAAAGCATTCCAGGTGAAGCTGGTTGAGAGAATGCCAAGAGTGTGCAAAGCTGTCATCAAGGCAAAGGGTGGCTACTTTGAAGAACTCAAATATAAAATATATTTTGATTTGTTTAACACTTTTTTGGTTACTACATGATTCCATATGTGTTATTTCATAGTTAGATGTCTTCACTATTATTCTACAATGTAGAAAATAGTAAAAATAAAGACAAACCCTAGAATGAGTAGGTGTGTTTAAACTTTTGACTGGTAATGTATGTTTATGATTCTTTCTCTGCTGTGGGATACTCCAGTAAACAATTCCTAAGATCAGAAGTTGTCCCTGCACAACAGAAGAAATTCATTATTCATATACGTAATTCTCATTCCTGCTCTTTCTCTCCAGGTCGGCATGATGGCCCAGTCAGCAGACAAGGCTCTGGTCCTGGGTGTGTTGGCTGGAGCGGCTGGCCTCAGCCTGGGCGCCGTGGTGTTATACAACAGCCGGAGGGCCATGCCACAGAGTGGACACAGTGAGCAGTACCTCAGCAGTAATGACCAGCGGGCGGCCGGAGCCAGTATGGTGGTGGGTGGAATGCTGGGTCAGGCTGAGGTTCTAGATCGTCTTGGAGCCCTGATCCAGTGTGTGTCAGAACTGAAAGATGAGGTGCGGGCGCTAAAGAGTGCCATCCCAAAGCTGCAGGACCACGTGAGGGATGAGCTGAGAGGACGCAGCGGTGGGGCTCAGGGTGGCGTGGCTCGCATCAGGGCAGGCCCGCCAAACCGAACTACACCCACACGCAGGAGGAGAGTAGCAGGGGGAGTAGCCAGAGCTGAAGGTCCAAAGCTCAGAGGAGGGGGCTGAGAGCGAAGGAGGGTGAGTCCCATCTTTCTCTCTGGCATAGTCAGATGTTGGTTGTTTCAGATACAGGGGGGAAATCCTCACATCATAATGATTTCATAGAAAAAAATAAGGAAATGTTCATAGTATTTGAAATGCCTTTATTTCTATGTTCAATGGAACAGCTCAAAAACTCTGACTTGTTTTGGCATGTGATTTCATTTAAAATGTCCTATAACGATACACTAATATTCACTCATAGTGATTGTAGTAGGCTACATAATCTCCTCTGTCCAAGCATCCATCACACCCTTTGGCATTTTATACTCAAATTCTGGTTTCCTCTTTGCCAGCTGCACCACCTTAACTATCCCACCTGTACTTGATCAATATCTTAATAAGCCAAAGTCACATGCTCACCCTGCATCACCATACTTTTTGACTTTCTCAATCATTATGTGGTAAAAGAAGAAGTACTGTATGTGAATGTGCCTGGGGTGTCAGAGAGTGGAATCTAGTGCCACACGCCCAGTCATCCTCCATCTGCAGCCAAATACCTTGATCACACGTCAGGCTTGAATAACATAAACAACAGATGTCTGCTTTTAAATGCACACTTAAAATGATTCTTTATGAAAACAATATATTAACAGGTAAGTAGTGACTATTAAAATAAGGCACTTGTGTTGTTAAGTCAGGCCTAACTTGCAAAGCTTTTCATGGACATGAATGCGTTCAGAATGTCTTCTTGTCTCAAAGCTTTGTGGGAAATGTCCGGCCTATTGCTTGATATTCATATTATCTGAAAGACGGCACCTTACACAGAGCAATGACCCCAATCACTGCCCTGGGGTATTGGGATATATTTTTTTAGACCAGAGGAAAGAGTGCCTCCTTCTGGCCCTCCAAGACCACATCCAGCAGCATCTAGTCTCCCATCCGTTGGGTATGAGGATTACTCTGACGGTGTGACAAGAATGTCCTAACGGACGTCCAAGTTATGGCTTTCCCTTTTTCATGTTCAATAAACATACATGATTTTGGAACCACAAGCCACCACCAGATGGTTTTTATTACCATAATTGCAGCCTTCCACTATGTCCCATTTCATACACAAAAGAGAAGTGAAAATATGAGACTTTGAGGCTGTTCTGTTACGCCTGTACACAGAATGGTCTTGATCTCTGAAAAAAAACATATTAAAGCGTGTTTGATGTTTTCTAGTGGTGAATATAAATGGAGTAAAGAGAATGATGTTCTGAGACTTCCTTGAAACAAGAATGCTGTGGATGAATAACTTGTTATAGCGTTACGGGACATCACCTGGATTGACCTTTCCAGTACTTTCACTAAGCATGCATAAAATAGAGTGCCAAGAAAAAGAAGCATCCTACCTGGTCTGGCTTGGCATCCAAACCCAGCAATGTGGGTGGGGCAGAGGAGTGTAATGGGCTGCAGATCAGAGCTGGATCATGGCACCTCCCCCCAGTTAGGTTAGCTCCAGATTTATATCCTGGCAGAAATCTGGCAGCAGTCGCCTTGGAGCAATTCTGGTTGTAACAACATAACAAGCAGGCCAACAGCCAGCCAGAGCACTTTGGGTAGTTAATTACTGTTTTGTGTTTTGGTGTCTTACTTCAGTGTATCTGTCTCTTTGGCTCTTCTATCTTTGTAGTGAAAAAGCTCATAGACTGGAAGTTATGTTTCATAAGGTATACATTACTGTATCACATGATGAGGACTAGGTCATATCAGTCAGCTAACAGTCAGCATCTGGATAACATGTGTGAAATGCTTGATAACAAATGTGATATCAATAGAGAGGTATACTTTCTGGGTGATTTTAAATATTGACTGGCTTTCATCAAGCTGCCCACTCAAGAGAAAGCTTCAAACTGTAACTAGTGCCTGCAACCTGGTTCAGGTTATCAATCAACCTATCAGGGTAGTTACAAACAGTACAGGAATGAAATCATCAACATGTATTGATCATATCTTTACTAATGCTGCAGAAATTTGTTTGAAAGCAGTATCCAAAGCCATCGGATGTAGTGTTCACAATATAGTAGCCATATCTAGGAACACCAAAGTTCCAACGGCTGGGCCTAATATTATGTATGAGGTCATACAAGAAGTTCTGTAGTGATTCCTATGTTGCTGATGTGAATAATATTTGTTGGTCTGTAGTGTGTAATGACGAGCAACCAGACGCTGCATTGACACATTTATGAAATTGCTTATCCCAGTTACTAATAAGCATGCACCCACTAAGAAAATGCCTGTAAAAACGGTTAAATCCACGTGGATTGATGAGGAATTGAAAATGTTTATGGTTGAGAGGGATGAGGCAAAAGAGATGGCAAATGGGTCTGTCTGTACAACCGATTGGCACTGCAAATTGAGAAATCATTTGACTAAACTGAATAAAAAGAAGAAGAAACTACACTATGAAACAAAGATAAATGACATAAAGAATGATAGTAAAAAGCTTTTGATCACCTTAAATGAAATTTTGGGCAAAAAGGCAAACTCTGCTCCATCATTCATTGAATCAGATGGCTCATTCATCACAAAACCCACTGATATTGCCAACTACTTTAATTATTTTTTTTCATTGGCAAGATTAGCAAACTTTGGCATGACATGCCAGCAACAAACGTCGACACTACACATCCAAGTATGTCTGACCAAATTATGAAAGACAAGCGTTGGAATTTTAAATTCCGTAAAGTAAGTGTGGAAGAGGTGAAAAAAGTATTATTGTCGATCAACAATGACAAGCCACCGGGGTCTGACAACCTTGACTGATGATTGGCTGAGAGATATTGATGATAAGATGATTGGGGTGGCTGTTTTGTTTGACTTCAGTGCGGCTTTTGACATTATCGATTTTGATATTATTGATCATAGTCTGTTGCTGGAAAAACATATGTGTTATGGCTTTACACCCCCTGCTATATTGTGGATAAAGAGTTGCCTGTCTAACTGAACACAGAGGGTGTTCTTTAATGGAAGCCTCTCCAACAATCGTGCAGTCAGGTGCCACAAAGAGGGACTTAGGAAAATTGCAATTGACTCAGAAAAGGGCAGCACTGCTGGCACTTGGATGTACACAGAGAGCTAACATTAATAATAGGCATGTCAATATCTCCTGGCTCAAAGTGGAGGAGAGATTGACTTCATCACTACTTGTATTTGTGAGAGGTATTGACATGTTGAATGAACCGAGCTGTCTGTTTGGACTACTGGCACACAGCTCGGACACCCATGCATACCCCACGAGACATGCCACCAGAGGTCTCTTCACAGTCCCCAAGTTAGGAACAGACTATGGGAGGCGCACAGTACTACATAGAGCCATGACTACATGGACCTCTATTCCACATCAAATAACTCATGCCAGCTGTAAAATTAGATTTTAAAAAACGGATACAAATACACCTTATGGAACAGAGGGGACTATGAAGCAACACAAACATAGACACATACATAGAAACACATGATAAAATACGCACTATACACACATGGATTTAGTGTTATAGATATGTGGTAGTAGAGTAGAGGCCTGAGGGCACACACTTAATATATTGTGAAATCTGTTATGAATGTATTGTAATGTTTTTAAAATGTATAACTGCCTTAATTTTGCTGGACCCCAGGAAGAGTAGCTGCTGCCTTGGCACCAGCTAATGGGGATCCATAATAAATACAAATATCAGGTCATCGGTTCTCCCACCTCTGTAATCAATGTAGTTTTGTTTATCCTCCTCCCTGTTGGAGAAAGAGTTGCATACCGAAGTATGGTGCCTCAGCCTGCCCTCCAGCAGATCCAGCAACTTGCTTTGAGTGGCAGCTGTCGGCCCCATCAAATGTTCAAAATTACATCCCGGGTTGTTATGGTTTGAAAGAAATCAAATCACGCACACACACCTACCATAATTAAAGCGCCTTTCCCTCTCCCCTGTGATTTGTTAGAGCGGGAAGGGGGAGAAGGTGCAATGGAGAAATTCCAGCCCTTAGGGAATGCTTGGCACTCACCCAGAGGTGCCTGCTACACCCCTAATCCTGACATCACATAAATTTTAAAGGGCTTTGGTTGTCTGTTGCACCGTGGCTTGGAACTGTAGGAAATAACAGCACTAGATTATATCCTTCACTGCTGAGATATCTTTATTAGAAAACCATGCTATGGTGGGTGGGGCAGGCTTCATGCTTTTTAGTTTAGAATGCAATTATTTATGTAGTTTAGAGGCATGTCCTACAGCAGGAGGCCCAAAAGTTTCTATATATAAAATAAATAAAAACATTTTTAATTTTTGGTCAACAAAGTCTCTAAAATCACCAGGAATTCAGCTAGAAATGTGTTTTAATTTAGGAACTCTGTTCCGAAGTCTTCCCACAATAAGAAAAGAGACATCAGGGTTTGACATTCAGGTTTTCCAGTGGCACACCGGGCCAGTACCAAGTGCAAACTACTGGCCCGGCCCAAGATCACAGTAAAAAGGACGTTATGCATGCAGATTTCAATCATGAGTGATTTCATGTTTCATTTGCAGTCTGGGCAAGTACCTTATAGCCTATAGAGGGCTTGCAGTTGCGTCACAAATCACCTAGCAACCACACACCAGGCGCCATGATGGAAGACCACAGTCTATATAAAATTAATATAGGCCTACCATTTATGCACTCCAATGGCCATGATGCGCTTCCCGGCGGCAGGTAGCCTAGCAGTTAAGAGCGTTGGGCCAGTAACCGAAAGGTTGCTGGTTCAAATCCCAGGGCCGTGTCGTGGAAATTCGAATCAAAAGGAAGAGAGACTGCAGATTCTTCAAACAATCATACTTTAAGATCGATAATTAATATAGATAATTAATTATTGCAATAATGGAGCTGGTCAACGAACCACCCGTAGGTGATTCATTGAGAGACCAACATTACAAAAAATGCAGAGATCTTATATAGTAGACCTAAAAATGCTTGTCCTGGCTGGTTCCACCCCTCCCCAGCAGATCGGGCCATCATGA